TGCAACCCAGGTTTGTGCCCTTGACCGGAATCAAACCCGAGACCCTCTGGCCCTCCGGCTGATGCTCCAACTGCAGAGCCACACTGACCAGGGATGGAAATAATTGTGACGCCTGAGCCCGTGTCAGAGACTCTCCCGCAGGCAATGGGCAGCCTGCAATCCGTGCAATCTGTATCAGAAAGTCCCTTCGCCAGTAGTGCTACAGACAGATTCAAGAGGGTGAGCAACTGCCAAGGACTCCACACGGGAGGGACAGCGACAGGCAAGGTCGAAGGTGAGAAGGTCTAAGAAGGTAGGAACCAGTGATTGGGAAAGGGGTACGAGTTTGGAGTTACTTAGGCATTGCTTCTGGGAACTGACTGAAGAGGGGGTGGGGGGAAGAATTCCTTCAAGGGGACTTCTGGAACTGACTGGAGGGACGGGGGGATGCTCTGGAACTGACTGGAGGGACGGGGGATGCTCTGGAACTGACTGGAGGGACGGGGGGGATGTTCTGGAACTGACTGGAGGGACGGGGGATGTTCTGGAACTGACTGGAGGGACGGGGGATGTTCTGGAACTGACTGGAGGGACGGGGGGATGTTCTGGAACTGACTGGAGGGACGGGGGATGTTCTGGAACTGACTGGAGGGACGGGGGATGTTCTGGAACTGACTGGAGGGACGGGGGGATGAGGGCGCTTTCATTCAGGTCATCAGTACAAGAGAACAGGCTGGGGTGACGGAAGGGTGGGAGGAAGAGATATTCAGTCTATGTTATGTCTCTTTTCAGCAGCCTCTGGACTATCCAAGTGAATGTGCAACAGTAGGTAGAACTGTGGCTCGAGAGCTCAGAAAAAGCATCTGGGGGAGGTGAGAATTGAAAATGCATTTGCGTGAACGCTCCCGCGAGGGGATGAGACGCAGGCGCAGTGCACATAGAGCAAACAGAAGAGGCCCTGAGGAATGCGAGCCTGGAGTGTGGAGAGAGAAGGGCGGACAGGGCATGGGGTGGGGGGGGCGTCAGAACAGCAGCTCACCTGGAGAGGGCTGCAGGGAGCGGAGGGATTTCGGAGGCTGTTAAGTGGCCAATGGCATCACTGCTCCCAGAGTTCACTGGCTCTCACTGGCAGAGGCATCTCATTTCCTTGCCCATCCTTTCGCATCCTTGTCATCAGCCGTGAGGACAGCCCAGCAGCTACGAGTCCAAGGAGGCTATGCAGACGTGCACACAGGTCCCAGCCCAATCTAAAGCTGGGGTCAAACCAGCCAGTCCACAGCCTGCAGCCACGCCACACCAGTGATCTGCAACACCTTGAGAAAAAGTCAGTGTCCGCTCCCAGAAGTCACTGAGCGTGGGGGACTGCTCCTCATAGAGCAGCCCTGCGGCAGGGGCTGACTAACGCAGGCTCCTCGTTCAGTTATCACGGAGTCAAAGAGGCTGCTAAGGCTGGAAGATTGAATTTCCCTCTCCCAACACCAAAGGAAGTGAGTAAGTAACAATAAAAACTAGCAAAAATGCACTAACAGCACAGAAATAGGGCCGATAGGGTAAGGCAGGCATAAGACAAAATCCCTCAACACCCCACGGTCAAGGAAAGGAACATGATTCCGGAGCACACCGGCGAGGAGCACAGACTCAACTCCAAACTCTGCCAACATCCCCCAAATCATTATTTTGTTATGAGTTCACAAAAATCCCGAGAATTCTCGTTAATATCACCAAATTGCGAGAAAAGAAACTGAGCAGCCTCCTCTTTCCCTCCTCTGACCGAGGGGAGAGGAGATGGAGGTGGTAACTCAGGGCTGCCAGGACTGCAGGGCACACCAGACTGGGTCACTGCAACCCTCTCCCATCCAGTGTGAACCCTGGGACAAAGAAGGCAGTCAGCCTCCCTAGACGGCACACACACCTTGACTCCCACTCTGCCTCCCCTTCACTCAGGTCAGAGAAAATGCAGACACTACAAGTGAGTTTTACTTCCAGTGAGGACACAATCACTATGCTTCAGGAACATCTGATGTTGCCATTGAACATCTAGAGGCATCCTGGTTAATTACTGAATTTATCTTTGTTCATCTACTAAACTTCCACAAGCACAGCTTCTCCGGGGGTAGCTGAATCCCTCAGAAAAGCAAAGCATTCCCCCCAGGGAACTCGGTCCTGCCCAACCTGCTCCGCAGCAACAACCTGACGCTGGATGAGAGGCTCACAGTTCTCTGCGGAGACGCGTGAACAAGAATACGGTGCCCATCTGACATGTCCTCCAAACACACAAGCTGATGGCAGACATTCTTAAACACGACAAAACCAGGGCACACAGTACCAGGAGTCTTAAAGAAACTATTTGGCCATGAAATCCAGCCAATGAAGAACCGAGTCAAAGTAAAAACAGTGGAAACGGAGTGGCGATTATGGATAGCATGAGTATAAACTAGAGCTCCTGGTTAAACACTCATGAATATCAATACTACCCCTGGCAGAAGTGGGGAGGCAGGGTGATGGGTAGAAGTCCAAGCATATTCATATACTCACTTTTCAGTCCAAAATCAAATTTTGTCCAAAAGTTTAACAATTTCTTCTGTTTTACTCTAGTTTATTTCATTGGTTGAATTTAAGTAAAATTGACTTAAATAATTTCTCTAGACTAAATAAAAATATAGAGTCTAGAGAATTAAACCATTTTGTAAGTTCATCTGGCTTTCCTTGTCTTTTTCCTTATGCATAGTAAGACATCTGAAATGATGTCTGCCTTAAAGCTATGATGGTGATTTCCAGGTAACAGGACTTGGGATGACTTTGAATACTTTTATGCCCCCCTCCCCCACATTTTAAATTCTTTATCAGCATATACCATTATCTATTTTTACAAAAACAATTCAGATTTTCTTAAAAAAACTAAAAGTTTGCAAATATGCCACAGTGTTAATGAACAGTGCTGACCCTGGGTAGTAGGAATGCAGATATACGTAAGCATTGTTGTACTATTTTGTACAGGATGAATGGGAGACGAAGATGAACATTTAGCATAGACAACCGCGGTAGATTTCAGACGGCCTCACAGCTTTTGCCTCCCACTGAGGGGTGGTGACTACCTCCCTCCCCTTGATTCCCTCCCTGGGGCCTGTCTTGACCAACAGAATGTGGTGGAGGTGCCACTGTGACTCTTCCTGCGGTAGCCGTGAAGACGGCAGCTTCCATGTAGAAGGTCTGACTACTCAGACAGCGAGGCCACTGGCGAGTGCCTGGAGCCACCGTGCACGGTGCAGCCCGGTCAAGCTTCCAGTGGAATGCAACCCCACAGGGGGCCCGGCCATGATACACACTGAGCAGAAGAACCACCCAGCCCAGCCCTGCCCGAAATTCTGTTCCAAAGAATTATGGGCACAGTTGCTGCTTTCTGTTGTTGTTGTTAATCCTCACCCAAGGATATTTTCCCCATTGTTTTTTAGAGAGAGTGGCAGGAAGGAAGGGAGAGAGAGGGGGAAGGGGAGAGGTGGGGGGGGGGGGATGTAAGAGGGACATATGCATCGGTTGCTTCCTGCAGGTGCCCCAACCGGGGATTGAACCCACAATCTGGGTATGTGCCCTGAGCAGGAATTGAACCTGCCACCTCCAACCAACTGAGCCACCCAGCCAGGGCATCTTTTCCCTTTTTGCTTATATTTAGATTCAATTATTTATTTAAAATTTGGAAATTGCCTACTACTTGGTATTTGGTAAATCACTGGAAAAAAAATTCACTTGAAATGAAAGATTTATATATAGCTAAGAGAATTTAAACAAAGTATTCAACTCAGCTCATGTGAAGCAAAGCAGTTATACAGGTCAATGAGTACTTCCTGTGCATTTATAAATAAGAAGAGCATAAAATATTTCTTTAAATTACCAGAGTAGGAAAGAAAATATCTTTTCTGTCTCGTATCACATGTAGGGGAAAAGAAAAAGCTCACAGATGGAAATATATAGGGAAAATATCATTAACAACAAAATAACACAAGTCCTTTTTTCTACAGTGAGGAGGCTGGAGGTAATGGTCTCCAAGATTTTGTCCATGTCTTAAGGTTTTTACTCTATTCAGTGTTTCCTAGGCTTAAAGGGTATATACATAAGAAAGCAACTCACATTGACACCACGTTTCCCTAAGTCACTGGGAGGCCTGCACTGGCCGGAAAGCAGGTGAGCAGGCAGAAAGGGGCGGTGGCCAAGCCCGAGTGCCCCTGGGGTTTCCTCCCACTGTAGGGCTCTCTACACGCCTCAGGCATTCGCCCTGACAAGTCAAGTCACTGGAAAATCATCTTTTCCTGGGAATTCTTCAAAAATTTTTGTTCTCTTTTAAATCTTATTTATAAGCATTTCCAGATGCCTATCCTCGCACATGAAACACGACATGAAGTAGACACTTACATTCACTGCTGTGAAGCCACGAAAAACCCACCTGGAGATCTAGCTGCCTAGCACCAAAGCCAGGCCCAGGGGACTTTCTGCTGCTGCGTAAGGTGTGACCCTGAAGCCACTTGGACACAGCCGGGCTCTCAGCAGCCACACGTTCCCCTGTGCTGAGTCGAAGCACATCAAATGGTTGGCATTCCAAACCTCAGACAGGTTATTTCTCATTACACAAATACATAATGAAAGGATGTGGGCAAAGAATAGGATGTAAATTGGAAGCTGACTTCTGGATTTATTAGCCAGCAGTCCTGGGCTGAAAGAGTCATCCCAGTTTCAAGAGACGGTTCCAAAGTGGTTCTCAAGAAAGAGGACCGGGCAGTTTTCAAATATTTGCTCAATGTGAATGGACGGGGCTTGCCAAAAATGGCTTTTCATGTTGGCATGTGATCTCTGAGAGGGACGCGGCCTGAGTCACTGGATACATCAAAGGCAGAGGCCAGTGAATGGAATTACTGCAGGCTGTGTGAGCGCCAGATACCTGCCTTCATCGCCCACTGCCGGGAGCTCAGCCCTCCTTTTAATTACGTCGGAGCAGCTGGTACCACGGGTTACTGAAGCCTTCCGATTACCTTGATTGCTCGGTCATTATCTCTAATCAGCTGCTTCTTCTCATCTTCAAACTTCTGTGTAACGTCCTGCAGCCGCCGTTCTGCGGCGAGCTGCTGCCGGCTGCTCTCTTCCTTCAGGGAGGAGATGGCTGTCTGCAGCTCCGCGATGGTCTGAAATGAAAACGGCATGCTGTGACCTCGCGCTCCTCCGCGGGCGCACCTACTTCACACGTGTCCATGCTTAGCAGCAGAACAGCCTGCAACACTCTCTTCCACAAACCAAGCATTTCCAATGAACGTATCGCACACCATAATGCATGAAATTCCACCCAATGAAAGACGGCAATAAAACTGCGAGTGCTGAACCAAATATATTTGGAAGACATTTCCACAATAACATTCCACAATATTTACTCATCAACAGAAAGAACATCTGTGATCTCGAAAATATGAAACGCAGATTTTATTTTACTGAGAAATATACTTATTAGAATGAAAAAAGCTCTTCTGCCTTTCCTATGACTTTGAACTGTAATAACCAAAGAAAATAACGAACAGAGTTCATCCTTCCTAATTACCTAATTCCACACAGAGGTTTCTGAGTGTTCACTAATGTCTGTGCGCTTGCTAGGCGCACTTTAAGCTCCTATGGAGGCAAACGTTATCACCCGCCTTCTACTAACGGAGAAATAGGCACGGAAAGAGGTCACATGTTTTATGCTGCTGAAAATGACAACCAAGGAGACAGGCAGGATTTGAACACCGTCAGATCAATGGCTGCACTCACTGGTTCCGCCACCTAGCCTACTTTGAACGGGGTTTGGGACTGAAGAGTGGTTTATGGTGACACAGCTCCGAATTCATTGCTTTCTTCCTAAGTGCTAATATATCCATGGAAGTTTATTTTGGTCCAGATTGTGTCACTTCAGTGACTCCCGGAGGGCTCCTGCAATGACCGGGTCCCTCCAGTCCTCAAAGCGACCCTCTGCAGGGGGCCTGGGGTTCAGCGGGCTCACTCGAGCCCTGCTCCTCCTCTGGTTCACATGTGTCTGCTTCCTTCCAGATTCAACAGTGATGACTTTTCAAAAGCAGGAAATGGTGGTTTCTTCTAATAAGAGAAAGAGCCATAGTCCTGGGTTAGAACATAATTCTGTTGGTTCTACGGGAGGAGGGTGGTTGATGAGAAACACTGGGCGAGTTAGTTATCTTCCTTAGAACTCAGATTTTCCAGTGATTACTAGACGGAAAAACTAGATTACAGCATCATAAGGCAATAAATAGAAAATGTCTGGAGTCGCCCGGAAGCCAAGTCCTACAGAAATATTAGTTGTTAAGTACTGAGAGAAATAATAGCATATTTACAGTAAAATATGGAGTATTTATGTTTTTAGAAGGGAGCTAACTTACTGTAACAAGGTTTAACATTTAGAATTTGTAAATAATCAAATATTAAGACCATTGTGGCCCTGGCTAGTTTGGCTCAGTGGTTAGAGCGTCAGCCCATTGACCGAAGGGTTGCAGGTTTGATTCTGGTCAAGGGCACATACCTGGGTTGCAGGTTTGATCCCTGGCCCCAGTTGGGGTCATATGGAAGGCAACCCGTCAATGTGTTTCTCTCACATCGATATTTCTCTCTCTCTCTCTCTCCCTCCCTCCCTCCCTTCCTCCTTCCCACTCTCTCTGGAAAAAAATCAATAGAAAAATATCCTTGGGTGAGGATTAACAAGAACAACAACAAAAAAATTGTGAAATAAATTACAAACTGCATAGCAGCAGTATGATCATATTTTCTGATGCAAACTCGAACCTTCTGCTGTGAGTGGAGTTCTTCCTTTACTGAGAATGAAGATGTTTCATCTGGTTTTCGAGTTTTGATGAAATGTTTCCATTCTGGCATCAGTTCCATGAATTCTCATAGCACGTCTATGAAACAGGGAAGGCTGAATTTTTATAGTAAATGTCAAAACCTGAGGCACAGCATAATCAACTCACTCACAGGCACCGAGCGAGAGGAGCCAGCGATAAGAAAGAGCCAGATTTCCTTGGCCCAACATGAAACTTGGGATTGGTATTTTATAAGAACACAGGGCCAAATAGCAAAAATAACTTTCTCTTTCAATGACTATTGCAGCGTTTCAAGTTGAGTAAGCTGCGACTCTGTAGCAGTGGTGAGTTTAATTCTGGAATGTGTTCATGTGTGTGCAATGCATGTGTGCGTTAGTTCCATGCAATTTTATCACATGTATAAGTTCATGTATCCATCACCACAATCATGCACTGCATTTTTAAAGGACAAGGTAATTTCATTTCTTTAAAAAACAGTAAGAGTTAGATCAGCTTTATGATGGACTGAAGATAAAACTATCTGGGGGTTCTTCAAATGACCACAAGGGCATGAAAGAGGGACTTCTCATTTTCAGAAGATGTAGGACCAGAGTGCGTCAGAAAGAAAGAAATGTAGTTTTGGAAGGAACTTCCAGAACGCCCAGGATGTTCGAAGGAAAGCTTGCCTTTGTGTGGAAAATGAGACTTACACATTCTTGGGGGAATATGAGATTCTTTGGGGGAAATAATGAGATTACCTTTGGAAAGTCGATTTAAAAACTTACGAAGATGACACAGGGAGAGTGTCAAAACATTTCGGGTGAAACACCTTGGGGGGATGAACAGATATATTGGCTGACAGACTGATCGATAAGATGGAGATAAAGACGTGACTAAAATATAGATAATTTTTAAAAATTGATGTGAGCTTGACTTTAGATTGAGAAGTAATCATGCTAACTAGATTACTATGCTTTAGGTAAGGAACAAAATTCACTTGGTTGTAGACACAGAGTACAAGAGAAGAGACTTTTTCCACCTTAGCTCAGTGCCTATAACCGGCACCCAATAAATGTATAAGTAGCAGAATTACAGTCATAGTAAATTTTTTAAAATAACACCTGAAATAGTATATTGAGATAATCTAGCCTTTCATAGAATAATAATATAAAAACTTTCTGAGAAAAATGAAAACGAATCTATACAATCATAATCAAACCCACCAGTTTTGGTTGAGTCAAAATTTAAAACCATAGAACAAAATGCCACCATTCAACTAAATGTTTACCCTGTATTAGTTTCAGAGAAGGAAGTGGGTTAGAACATTTCCATATGAATATTAAAAATTAATATTTTGGAGCGCAAAAGGAGATCTCTTTGGGGCTGACATTGTAAGCAGCCTATCCCGTGAATGCTATAGTAGTTGATAATTCTTGTTAAACAATTAATACTTTACGCAAATGTTAGTGGTCTTATTAGGTCTTAAAAATAACAGGATTCTAAACAGAGGTGAAGATTTAACTTTAACTCACTTAACTGTTTTTCAGATCATAGTACAGTTGGAGATTTTTATAAAGCTCTTCTTTAAGACATGGTAGACAAGACAAGGCCTACTTGGGAGGGTTCAGTGAACATAGAAGATCCTCATAAAATAAGTGGAAGAGGGGGTCCTTGACACCTTTTGCAGTCTGGGTGGTCACTGTGGAGAGTGACAGGAAGGCTGGGGTGTGGGGGACACGGGGACCGGGACCGGGCACTAATCCGCAGCAGGTGTTGGGAGCTAGTGTGGGGCAGCGGGATGCCAGACCCTGGGGGGCTGTTGGCATCTGGCCTTAGTCTTCTCCACAACCACCGACAGCCCTATAGAGGGCAATATCTTTTTTGACAAATGGCTACCAAGTAAGTCAGTTCAGTGGGGAAAACTGCATTAAAATGGAAAAGGCATGGTTAATATGTAATATTAAGATAAAAAGAATAAATGTGTGACTCTGACAGAATGAAAGTTGGGAGCGTGCCCAGAGATGATGGGAACACTGCCATCCTGGGGATCGTTGTGAATCCCAGAGGGGCACAGTCCTGGGTATGCCAAGGGTTTGGTGTACATGGTCTATTAGGTCTTAAACGCTTGGTAAAATCTTCAAGATTAAGTAACTTCCTTTAAGGGAGCAAAATATTTAAAATATTTTCCAAATTTAACCGATGATCCTCCTGGGTACCAACGCATTCATTACTAATACATTCATCTTCTTACTTCCTTTTTTTTGTAGAGAGATTTCTATAAACTTAAACAGTTAAGCAACTTTGCTCCTGCATTCTCCTCAGTGAGATATTGATTACAGAACCCAGTAAAGTAAAACTGGAAAACAGAAAGGTCAATCCACAGTTCTGTTTCATAATGTTTATTTTTAAATCATCTGTCCCGAACAGACTGAACTGTCAACTGACGTCTCTCGTATTTAAAGGAGGGCAAATGAACACTGTCGATGGAAAGGTGTCGCCTGACCTTTCATGAGAAGGATGGACATGTTTTACGATGTCATTAGACCCTTTCTAAGGTTTTCTCTTTTTGGTGGGGCACTGTCCTTTATAGGACAGAACAGTTGTCACTAGTTGGTTTTTCCTCCTCCTTCTTTTTGTCTTTACTTGGGAAAAGATTCAGCAACCCTTTACCTCTCCAAATTTTGGGAAATTTTTAGCAATGCTTACCACTCTAAAATAAATTACAAATAAATAATTTTTTGCTCTTTCCATACCATGTTCCTTCTTTGTTCCCTCCTTTCCTTTCTCTTGCAGTTTAAAAAAAATTTTTTTTCCTTTACTGATGTTAGAGAGAGAGGAAGTGAGAAGGAGAGAGAGAAATATCGATGAGAAAGAACATCGATTGGCTGCCTCCTGCATGCCCCCCACTGGGGAGCGGGCTCACAACCTGGGCATGTGCCCTGACCGGGAATCGAACACGGTGACCTCTTGGTGCAGGGGTCAATGCTCAACCACTGAGCCACACCGGCCAGGCTCTCTTGCAGTTTTAATACTCCTACTGTAAGAGCTAACAGTGAGTCGATCCTCTAGTAGGTCCTCGGCTCCGTACTAAGCACTTTTTTAGTTTTGTGTTACTTAATACTTAAAACTGTCCTCTGAGGTCAGCGCTGCTCCTCCAGCTCACAGATGAGGAAAGTGAATTCCAGAGGGGGCAGGTAACTCGCTCACGGCCACGCGAGTGGCAGGGCTGGGATTCAAGCTCAGGTCCGCTGCCCTCAGGGCGCAGGCGCTCCCACGGAACTGATGGGCTTCTGCACACATTCCTCTGGGTGAACTCAACACTCCTGCTTACACTCTCACTATGTAAGCGTTTTGTTAGCTATCTTCTATCTCACTTTCGGTCTGCCTCCCCATTTAACATACAGCAAAATAAGCAGGATGTGAGGGCATGCCAGCTGGGCGGGTTTTGTGCTTTAGTTTAAACTTTAACTTTTGGAGTAATAAGATTTCTGATTATAAGAATTTTTCTCAGTGGATTAAAAAGGATATTCCTTCCCTGGCCAGTATGGCTCAGCAGTAAGAGCATCACCCACGGACCAAAGAGTCCCGGGTTCGATTCCAGCCAAGGGCACATACTTCGGTTGTGGTTTGTCCCTGGCCCGGTTGGGGTTGTGCGGGAGGCAACCAGTCGATGTGTCTCTCTCACGTCAATGTTTCTCTCTCTCTCTCCCTCCCTCCCTCTCTCCCTCCAGCTCTATCTGAAGATTAATGTAAAAATATCCTCAGGTGAGGATTAAAAGAAAAGGACATTCCTTCCTCAAGGAAGGTCTGGAATAAGGGCAGTCAAGACAGTCATCATCTTGTCAAGTAAGCACATATGACCCTTCGCATGAAGACTTTTCGATTTCCTAATGGGATGTAGATGACATGATACATGCACATTTCTGAAATAACTGTAGAATCTAAGAACTTTCATGATCATTGTCAGCAGTTTTGCGATACAGAAAATGTGCGGGATGGGCCAGGCTGGGGCCGTCAAGGTTGAGAGCTTCCATTCCCAAGTCAGATCCAGGCCGGGTCCTGGCTTAGTCATTTGTTAATTACGTGGCCTCACGTTTCTGAGCCTTAGCTTCCTCAGCTCAAGAAATGGAGCCAATAATAATTCTTAACGTCAGAGCTACTATGAATGAAGATGACATGAGTCAATATGACTAGTGCCCCATAAAATTCTTGATTTTATTACCATGCTGTTGTCGTGCTGCCGTTATTACCACTGTGTGGTAATTCATAAAATGGTACATAAATTCAGTTTACTACCACGTATCCCTGTATACATGCAAAACTATTCAGAGAAGTTGAGTTACAAAGTCATGAGTTATGATGTCATAAAATTAAATGGGTTAATCTATCCATCTGTAAAATGAAAATTAGTATTTATTTGGTTAGAATTATTCTTCCGACTAAGGAATGCTTGGGATTCCCTAGATGACACTATAAGATGGTATTATAGTAATTCGTGCAGAAAAAGTACTCTAAGCATCATGTCAAGTAGAGACAAGTATTCAATTATTGGCTTTTTTATACGAAAACTACAATAGTAACAACATACAGCAAGATATGACTGTAGGGACTTATAATTATTCTTTTTTTCCAAAAGGAGCCACCAGTTGGGCTGCTGACTCGAAGCAGATATTCGCCACATCGAGTCCTGCTGCTGAGCTGTCTCCAGGTGCAGCAGGCAGGGACACTGCAGAGAGCGGAGATGCTGTCAAACGCTCACACCACAGATGCGGGCGCGTCTCCCGCCCGCGTGGAATCTGCTTCGGCCTGGGCTTGTTCGAGTGCACAGGCTGGTTTTACCACATGTGAGTGTGTGTTCACATGGTTCAATTTAAACATTTTTAATAAAAAATATTAAAGCATATATTCTTTACCCATATACCCATCAAAAACATGATACTAATCCATGAGAAACTAGAGAAAATGACGTTTAACTCTAAAGTGCAAATGCTTTTATGCATAGGTTCCTTTCTTGTTTGATTGGGTTTTGCTTTTTTTCTTCCGACGTTCTTACCTGAGAAGACTTGGCAAGCTTCTGAGTGTACTCCTTTTCGATCTGCTTCAGTCTGCTGTTGGCCTGAAAGACACACGGACGTGAGCACACACAGTGACCTGGGAGCTTGGTATCTCTTGCACATGCCTATCACCAGGCAGCTGGGCTGGCTGCCAGCTGCACCGCCCTCTGGAGCAGCCAGAAAACCACAGGGCTTGTCTTTGATCGAACGCCAACTATTCATCACTTAAAAAGCAAAAAGCAAGAGAGAAAAAAAAGATCTCTCCTGCCAATTATTAGACAAACACAGACTTCTGTGGAGAGGCAGAGAAAGGGAGCGGGAGACAGAAATAGACAGCACAAGTGTGAGGGCTCGGAAGGTAAAGTAGGGAAGGGGAGAGGAAACAAAGGAGGAGGACAAGAACGCGGGGGGAGCTGCAGCAGGAGGAACTGAACACTCTTTCTCTTAGTTTAAAGAGGAAAGAAATAGAGGCTCCTGGACAGAGGCAGATAGGAGATGTTTGAGTTCACTGAGCAGACTTGAGCCCCCACTCTGCCTAATACATAAGAACTATTTTTTGAAGTGACAAATATATCTAAATCCAACCTTTTTAATGTCCTGGAGGAAGGGTGGCCTTTCCACACGGTTCCGATCTTTTGTATGTGACCTGCTTTTTTCTCTGGGAGCCTTGGGACCCTCCCTTTATCCTGAGAGTCTGAAGGATCACAGAGACGTGCCCTAGGCCGGGCCTCCTCCCCTCCGCTGTGCAGGCATGGAGTAGGCCCTTCAACCTGAGCTTGCGTCCTTCAAAGGAGGTTCTAGGGAGGTTCTGGTCACCGCGCTCATCACTGCCTCTCTTTCTCCCTGGTCTCTCATTGCTGTCTGTCTATACAGCTCCCTCTGCAGCGCTGCTTGTTGGTCTGCTCAGGTCTAGCATCTCTTTTTCTTATTCTCTTTTCCATTTCTTTGTCTTTTTGATCTTTGTAGAGATTTCTCAACTTTTAATTTTAAACTTTCTATTGGATTTTTAAAAAATTCTGCCATCCATACTACCTGTAATTTCCAAGAGTATTTTTGCTTTCTGAACAGCATCATCACTCCCCTTTCCACAGATGGGGAAAATCAGGCACAGAGAGGGTAAGAACTTGCCCAGCATCACACAGCCAGGAAGTGCTAGAGCCAGGACTCAACCCCACACAGTGGAGCTGGGTGCCTTACCAGCTAGAGCATATCGCATAGTGCCTGTCAAAGTCCCTATTTCTCCTGAGGTTACTGATGTCACCTGTACCTGTCTATATGTCTATACCTACACACACACACACACACACACACTGCACTTTTTTCTGCTCTCTAGACTGTGTTTTTTCTAAGTTCCTTTTATTTACTTGCTTTGCCAGCCTGGTTTGATCTGTTTTTCACTTTGGATACTTTTCTCAATTGTCTGGTAATCTTCGGTGTCTTCCTTACTTCAAGTGAGGCCCACTGAAATGGGTAGGCAGGGGGTGGGTGCACGTCCTCACAGGGTGCCACAAAGGGGCCTGGACGCTCCCATGCCCGTCCTGACGGGGCATTCTCCTCGGAGCACTGTGCCCGGAGACGCCTGGCCGCACAGATCAGCTGCTGGCGCGTTCAGAGGGCGCCTAGGCGTTGGGGATATCGACCTGCACACTTCTATTCTCATGTTTGCTCTCAGCTGCACTGGGTCCCCTCTCTTGTCTCTTTTCTCCAGAGAGCAAACCAGGGTGGGGATAGGGGCGAACATGGAATAACTCAACACGCATGTTGAAATCCTAGTCCTAATGTATGAGATCTGGAGGTGAGGCCTCTGGAGGTAATCAGGCCATGGGGTGGAGGCCTCATGACTGGGATTAGTGCCCTTCCGAGAAGCTGCGGAGGCTCGGCCATCTTTCTGCCGAGTGAGGGTACGAGAGTCGGCAGTCCCAGCAGGAGGAGGGCTCTTGTCCTGCTGGCACCGATCGGTGACCTCCAGCCTCCACGCCTGTCAGGAACAGACCCCTGTTCTTGAGAAGCACCAGTTTATGGTGCTTCCTTAGAGAACCAAGCTGACCAAGGCAACAACATGTGGTTTATGGACTCAGGTTCAAAAGCAGTTCTTCAGAGTTTATTTCATAAATCTCTCTGTACCTATAATCCCACTGAGTACACTGGGCAGTTCTGCTTCTTCCAGAATAGACAGAGCAGGTGACAACTGCTATTTTTCCTAGTAAGCCATCAGACTCGGTTCTAGCTCTACAATTAATCGAATTAAGCCCACTCTCAGCCTCTTGAGGTTTATTTGTCCTGGTTCACATTCTGCCCATGTTTTTTAAATCACAAAGTGTTTGATAAAGTATTTATTGCTTATTTAATAAACACAGAGCTCTTACCATGTGCCAGGCACTATTCTAAGTGGTTTAAAAACACTCACTAGGAAATATAAAAATTATAGTGTCATGAAGATTAAGTTACTTTTCCCTAAAAACGTCAGAGTCCGAGATACTGGTTGGTGCAAGACAGGCTGTGTCTCAGCTGCAGTTAGTCTTCCGGCGGCTGGCCAGCCCGCCCAGAACCCCACACACTCAGCTAACTACCCGATCCATTCATCCGTTCGCGCGTCTGGGACCACAGCAGTGACAGAACAGATGACAGTCTCTCCCTACCTTTACAGAACTTCCAACCTAGAGAGCAAACAAAATAACTTATACAAGTAATAATGTTAAGTGGTACAAGAGCCGTGGAGAGGATAAAGCAGCAAAGAGAGATGAGAAGTGATGGAAGATGGGGGGTAGTTCACAATTTCTAAAACATGGAAGTTAGGGAAGGCCTCACTGAAAAGGTGGTATGTGAGCAAAGACCTGAAGCAGATGAGGGAGCCATGGTGTGCTCTAGGGAAAGAGCACTCCAGGCGGAGGGAGCCAGTACAAAGGCCCTGGGACAGAGGCACCCGGCGTGCTCCAGGCACGGTGAGGTGGCCAGTGCGATGGGATCAGTGAGCATCCCCCCTGAACAGACGAGGCCTGAGAGAGAACGAGGGGCCAGGCCCTGCGTGTCACCGCCGTCTGAGAGAGAACCAGGGGCCAGGCCCTGCGTGTCACCGCCGTCTGAGAGAGAACCAGGGGCCAGGCCCTGCCGCGGTCTGAGAGAGAACCAGGGGCCAGGCCCTGCGTGTCACCGCGGTCTGAGAGAGAACGAGGGGCCAGGTCCTGCGTGTCACCGCCGTCTGAGAGAGAACCAGGGGCCAGGCCCTGCGTGTCACCGCGGTCTGAGAGAGAACGAGGGGTCACCGCGGTCTGAGAGAGAACGAGGGACCAGGCCCTGCGTGTCACCGCGGTCTGAGAGAGAACCAGGGGCCAGGCCCTGCGTGTCACCGCGGTCTGAGAGAGAACCAGGGGCCAGGCCCTGCGTGTCACCGCGGTCTGAGAGAGAACGAGGGGCCAGGCCCTGCGTGTCACCGCGGTCTGAGAGAGAACGAGGGGCCAGGCCCTGCGTGTCACTGCAGCCATTGTGAGGAATGTGTTTTTAATGAGGGAACTGAGGAGTCAGTGAAGAGCTCTCAGTACAGGAGTGACAAGACTTAACAGAAGTATTTAGGAGGTCGCCCCAGCTCTTGTTCGGGGCCGTGCAGAGAACTGAGATGACAGTCCCCACAAATCATCCAGGACGGTCGCAGAGGAGGTGGGGGAAGCAGTCAGGGTCTGAGGAGGATCTGCAGGCAGAAACAATTGGATATGCTGAAGCAAGGATGGCTTCAGGACTGTTGTCCCAAGACTAGAAGAAGGGGGTGTCATCAGTACCTTACATCAAACTCTGGGTGGGACAGGTTTCGGGGCAGACCGAGGTCAGTTTTGGGCACATGAAGCTTGGAGATGCCTCCTGGACACGCGGTGTGGAAGCGCACATTTGGATATTGCGTCTGGAGTCCGGGGACAGTCTCGGTTGGAAGTACACATTCAGACATCACCGGTATACAACTGGCATACAGCACTTGCTAGTGGATGAGATCTCAAGGCATGGAGTGTGTACAGCAACAGAGGAGGTACAAGTGCACCGAGCCCTGGGCCCGCAAATGTCAGCAGCTGGAGATGGGAAGGAACGCAAACAATGGCCAGAGAGCTAAGTCGTCAGAATAGTGTGGAATCCTGAAGCCACTTAAAGAAAAGGTTTCAAGGACTATTCAACTGTGCCCAGTGCTACAAGGTCATGCACAGGGAGGACTGAGAAACGACCAACGGCTTCAGCATGTGGCGGACACTGGCGATTTGGATACAAGCAACTTCGGTGTAGTGGCAAAGAGGAAAGCTAGTGTAGAGGGAGCTCAAGAGAGGACGGAAATTGGAGCAGATGCAAACAATCTGTTCAGGGTTCTGTTACAAAGGGAAGGAGAGAAATAGGCTGGACGCTGCAGGGGAAATGGGCACAGAAAGGGCTGACTTGCTTTGTTTTTTTAGCGAGATGAGAGCACTAACAGCATGTGGGCTGGTGGGAAAGATCTGTCTGCAGAGGGAAAGTAGATGATGCCAGAGATGTACTGGAGACATGTCCTTGAGGAACGAAGAGGGCGTGGGATCCAGGGCGCAGGGGAGGAGGTGGCTTTTGCTGGGAAGTACAGGTAAACCACCCCAGCAACGGGGGTGGGAACCTCTGATTAATTCCACCTTCCCGTGCAGGAGAAGGGAAGGTTCATCAGCTTAGCATGGAGATGGCAGGAGAGATTGGGGCCATGAGGTGTGACGCAGGAATGCGACCAGTCATCTGGGAGGGTGGGAAGGGGCTGAGGAAGGTCGTATGAGTCCCTGGATTCCTGGAAGCACGCGGACCACGTGAAATTACCAATACTGAACTTCAAGTGAGACCAGATGACGGTATATAAAAATCCTAGACCTTGCAACAGCTAAATAGAGCAGAATCAATACTCTAAAGAATAATGAGAAATTGCATAATTTCTTGAATTGAAGAAATAAAATTAGTTTATCAACCTTCAAGGCTTTTACTATGTATATGAACCTGTCCCAGCTGCTTCAATTTCTGAACTTCACAAATAAATCTAAAAAGCTCTAGGTGAGCATGGCTGAAAATTTATAGC